GACGTCGAGTAGCGGGTCACAGGGTGAGTACCGGGACCAGATCCGGCTGCCCATAATTCCTTACTTTATCCCTGGCAAAACTACGACGAGGATCCCTGCGCTGGACCCGACGGGTCAATCCCACGAGTCCCAATACATACCACATAGTTCCGGTCATCTCGCGATGGTACTGCGTAAGGTATGCTGCGATGCGTCTAGCACTGTACTATCGAAAGACGTGCGCCAACGGAAGAGAGCAGTGGGCCATGCATGTGCGAAACTTAAGACTTGAAGACTTAAGCGACGGGCGCGACGACCAAGTCGTGGATCGTGACGCTGCTGTCGCAGGACGCCGTATACAAGGAGCGTTCGTCGACATCGACGGACGGCACTTGCTTCGTGTGCACGTGCAACGTCTCTCGCTTCACCAACCCCGTCTTGGGCCCAAACTGCCACAGCGCCACCGTCGAATCGTTCGATGACGTGGCAACGCTGTGGTCGCCGACCTGTCAAAAAGCATAGATACGCCGCATTGGAATACAGAGGTTTTCCTACCGCGATCGATCGGACCGCGGTCGTATGCGCGTTGGGGAAATCAAAGAGGGGTTGGTGGTGGGCCCCAGATGCATCCCAGATTTTGAGCGAGCTATCCTTGCTGGCCGTGATGACAAGGTCCTATTCTCGGGCATGAGACCGTGACCGACTCCTAATTCCTTACGTCGGTGAGCAGTGCCACGTCCATGATCGCTTGGTCGTGACCGACGAGAAGCGCCATTGGGGTTTGAAGGCGCCGCTCGTCCCACACCTCGATATCCTAGTGTGGTATTTCGCCTTCTTGCATCATAAAAGGGGGCTGTCATCGCACCTTGACGCCACCGATGTACAGCCGATGGCCTTGCTTGGCCATCGCTGAAATGCACGGCGTCGTGCACTGGACACGGTGGGCGATGGCATTCGGTGTCGCTCGTGTCCACTGCAGCAGCTCCCCTTTGAGCGACCCGGTCCACACTGTCGACGCTTCAATCGTCATGCTCAAGAGCCTATCGGCGTCGGCCTCGAGGACGCGGACGTTCTGGCCCGTCTCGACATCCCAGCAGCGAACCGTGCTGTCGAACGACGCACTGAAGAGCTCGTTCGGGTGCGGCGACCACGCGAGCGACCAAACAGCGTGCTAATGCATACTTCGACGGTGACATTGTGAAGGAAGGTGGGCCGGTACCTGGTGTCCGGCCAAGGTCATGAGCGGGCTCATGGGATCGGTGCCTTTCGATGACATTGGTTTGCGCCAGACTTTGACGAGCCGGTCAAAGGCGCACGTGGCGTAGAGGTTGCTCGAGGGTCCGTGCGTTTTCTGGGCCGCGATCGCGTTGACGCCGTCGCTATGCGCACTAAACGACGCGATTTGACGGGGGACGCCGACCCGCCACGCGCGCAGCAGCTCGCGCTTTGTCACGTACACGTGGCGCCACGATGGCGCAGATTCGCTTGGCCGAAGGTACGAGCGCGGGTACGTGGCAGCATAGGCACGCCACCAGTGGACATCGTGCGGCGCCCAGTCGCGAAACCGGACGCAGGTGCGTTCGACAACGAGGAGGTCCGCGGGCGCCAAGAACGCAAACACGAGCAACGCAACATCCTGCGACAAGAGAGCGTCCATTGCGCCAGCGACCGAAATGGCGTTGTGAGTGCGTGACGATGGCGCCGCTTGGGTCGATCTTGGAACATTGGAAAAATAATACGAACGACGTCGGTGGCACGTGACGGAAGCAGTCTCTTTGTCTCGGTTCAGTCTCAAGTAGTCCACCAGTGCTCGGGATCTCCTGACACCTGTGTGTACTTCAGGAGTACAATTGTGTAGAGGTTTGTGAAAGTTCAATGGGAAATTTCATTGTTGATGGTGATGTGCAGCGTGGATTGGCGCGAAGACTCACCGGTTGAAGGAAATTTAACGTTAGTAGTTCAGGCACCACAGTATGTTTATCGGCTACCAATGCTGCCATCACCACTGTGCCAAGTGAACTGCAAGTTGCTATTACCTTGACTTTGAATCATTGCGCGCATGTCCAGCTTGGCGATGACGCTGTATGAGGCACACGATCGTCACACCAATTCAAAGGAAATGGCAAGCGCACCACAAGTGCTACTCGGTGCTACCTTGAAGAAGCACCGTGGTTTGTCGCACGTCCTTCTTTGTTGACTTGGCGGTGAAGGGTCGCCGCATGGAGCGGTACCTTCTCGCTTCTCGCTGCTGACGTCAATGGTCAAGCAGCATCAGAGTCTTCCATAGATCCAGCCCTTGCCGCTTCATAGAAGCTCATGCATCACGCGATCCCAACGCTGTAGATCCTGAGGTAGGTTTCCATCGACACTGCGCGGGGATTGGTCCGTCAAGTGGCCAAAAATGCAGCCAATCAGCGGCCGATCTCGCTGGAAGATTGCACTGCGTTGGCAATGCCGTGACGTCGCCTGGTCCATTTCCCGATTTCCACCTTCCGACCAGCATCATGCTCCAGCTCAACGAGGTCGACTGCATGGTCCCGACGCTCATCGAGGAGCGCATGCGGCTGTACGCCATGGACGACCAAGCGCCGACAAGCCTCGACCCGACATGGAGCGACGACGAGGCCTGCGACGTGTACATCCCGACGGCGTACCTCACGTCGACGAGCGGGCTCGCCATGTACTGCCCGCATACGACGCTCGAGATGCTCTCGACAAGCGACTGTACGAGCGAGGACGAGCCGACGATGGGCCTCAGCATGTACCTCGAGGCCTTCAACTTGCTCTCGCCGCGCCGAGGCGCTGCCAAGCACCGCCCGTCCTGTATCAAGAAGACTATCAAGAAGCGCAAGGCCGGCAAGGCGTCGACCAAGAAGACCGTCAAGCGCAGCGTCCAGCGCGCGTTCCTCTGAGCGCTTTTGTCCCTATTTATGATGCTCCCTTATCTTATGCCACAACGACGACCACTATGTACTTTTGCGTCAACATCGACGTACTTGCAACAACAAGATCATCGTCCATGACCGGCTTAAATATGGAGGTACGGCGGCAAGATGGGTGGCCGGAGCTTCTCATCGACGAGAAACTCGAGCGGGAAGACGACGAGATGGCCCTGGATCGCCGAGAGCTGGAACTTCGCGTGCATCTCCTCGGTGACGGGCACGCTGGCGTTGGTTTGGACGTTCCCGAGTTGCGCTTCGGCCGGCTCCGACTGCACCGAGATCGACGGCGACTGCAGTAGGAGCTGGCTACCGTCGTCGACGCTCTCGCTCGGGTGCAAGAACGGCAGCCACGACCGCGCCGGGCGCATTTCCATCGCGTCGTCGTCATGGTACCCATGGTGGTGCGACGACGACGACTCGCCCTTGTGCAAAAACGGGAGGAAGAGGCTGCTCGCCTTGCGGGCAAAGTCCGTCTCGGAGCGTCGAAGGATCTTCTTCGGGTGGTCCGACCACGGCACGTCGCTCTCGCTGTGGCGCGCCGGGATCGTCGCCATCGCCACGTCCGTGTCGGTCGTCTGCAACACCGCGTCGTCGGCCTGATCCATTGTCGACTTGCGGCCGCGGTGGGTCCAACTGGGCGCTTTGGTCCACTGCCGCCACTTGCCATAGAACGTCGTCTCGTCGTCCTCTGCGAGCGACCGCGACGAGTGCAGAACCGCGCAGTCGTCGTCGTGCAAGAGCAGCGCCGACGTCCGAACGTACTTGCGTCGGCGGACTTGCGCAAGGATTCGGTCGGCCATAAAGTGCTGGAGCTTGTCGCGGCGCCGGACTGCGTGGGCCGGCACGAGGCGCATGTCCTGAAAGATTTTGAAATTGCGCGCGTAGTACCACTTGTCGTCGTCGTCTGAGAGCATTGGGAAGCTGTGGTCGCTCACGAGCGTAAACTCGGAGAGCTGGATCTTCTCGAGGGGCACGGGTACGCCGTTGATGTCGGTCCACGGCGCATAGTCGTCGGGCTTGAGGTTCTGGGCGTCCCACGCGTGCCGGCCCCGGAGCGGGTTGAGCCGCTGGTTCTCAAAGACCGCATCGAGCTGCGTCCACGCCCCTTCGAATGCGCTGAACGACCGCAGTTCGTCCGATGGTGCGCAGTGAAACACATTTTCAAACACGCGCGTGTTGGCTTGGGCGCGCCGCTGGATAAACTGCCACGTGAAGGCGCACGCTGGGTCCAGCATCGAGTTGTCGGTCGGCGAGAGCCCGAGGTGCTCCCGAAAGAGCTGCTGCCGGAGTGTCGTCGCGAGCGTCCCTTGCCGGTACGGCTCGTCGTTCATTCGGCCGAGCGAAAACGTCGTGTCTTCCATGACGATCGCAATCTCCGAGTCGCGGTCGCCGTTCATGCTGCGGTCGTTGATGTTGGCGCTGCCCATGACGACGACGCGGTCGTCTGCGATCAGCACTTTCGAGTGAATGTAGATCTGCTCCGTCACGAGCCGGCCGTTGGGCATGACACCAGTCGTGCGCAGGCCAAAGAACATGACGTACTCGTGCGGCACGGGCGTGATGTGGATGAGCGCATCCATGAGCGACGTCCGAATCGTCTCGTACTGCCAGTGCATGATCGCGTGCAAGTGCGTCAGCGACTGCTTGCTCTGGATGTTGCCTTCGAGCGCCGGCAGCAGCGGCATGACCACGTAGACGCGAAACACTTGGTTGTGCGCGACCGCCAGCGCAATGCGGTCCACGAGCGCTTGGACAATGCGGTTCAGCACCATCGTGTTGCCTTGGAGTCCCGAGATAAAGAACTGGTTCTCGAGGTACACGTAGTGCTGCGCGGCGCGGATCGTCTCGCAGTACGCCGTGTGGATACTGGCCTCGGTCGGGACACCCGCCGACCACTGCGACACAGACCGCAGCACCTGCAGCGCACACGGTTGGTACGCGTCCGCGCCTTTCGGTGGTGACGCCGGCGCGTCGAGCGGTACGATGCTTTTGGGTAAAAACTTGAACCGGCGCGTGCGAAAGCAGACGCACCAGTCGGTGCGGAGCGCACTGTCCTTCTTGGCGCACACAAAGTTCCAGCGCTCAATGAAGTGCAACGCGACGTCGAGGACGGCTTCGCCTTGGAGCGAGCAGTGCACGTCGTGCCACGGCATGCGCGGCACCGACTCGCGGTCCACGAGGTCTTCGAACGGCCGGTCGACGTGCACAAAGTCCTTGATGATCGGGTTCGAGTAGTCTTTGCCGGGCCAGCGCTGGCACTCGGGCGGCCCCGGGTCCGAGAGCACGTGCGCCGACGTGTCAAACCGGCCAAACGCCAAGTCGAGGCCGCCGACAAACGCAGTCGTGGTGTCGACGCACACAATCTTCTCGTGGTGGCTCCAGAAGCCGAGAAACTGCACCTGAAAGTCCGGGTCGCGGAGTACACGGACGTTGCGGTGGCGCATGAGCGACTTCATCGCGTAGTACGACCCGAGGTCCATCGCGACGCGCACCTCGCGGTAGATGAGCACGTGGATCATGACGCCGGCCTCGGCCTTTTGCAGCAAGAGGTCCTTGAGGCTCGGACCGGGGCCTTCGCGACCGGGCTTGGGCCGTTGCAGTAGCAAGTCGGGGCAGACCCACCAGCCAGCAATTAAAATCTGCGTCGTCGCATTCAAGATCGCGTGCATCATGGCTTCGTATGTGTCTTCGCCGTCGACGTGCCACTTGACAAACCCTAATACATTGCATGATCGTATTAAGTATCAGCGTATCAAGTGTACCTTCCGAGCGCTGGGGCGCAAACGAGAGATACCGGTGGTTCTTGGGCCGCATCGGCAGATCGCGGAGGAGCGAGAGCCAAATGTCACGACGCACGTGGGCGTGCCAGATACCGAGGTACGAGATGATGTAGTTGCAAAAGATGCCGACCGTCGACGCAATCACACTCCCAAGCAGGAGAGACGCGACAACGTACCCGATCGTGGCGGCCGTCACATTGGAGAATTCGATCGGCATGACGCACGTCGTGTTGGAGAACGAGATGAGCACGTTGTCGCCGTCGATACTGGACGTGCTGTGGAGGCCCACAAAGCGCGTGCCTGGAAACGGCGGCAGCGACATGCTCGTCACAGCTCGCAAGACGTCGACGTTAGGGTCGTACTTTTTGAAAATGCCCACGTATTTGTGCTTTGACTCGTAGTTGCCGAGCCATTGGGGCCCGAGCTTGGCGCCTTGCAGACCTACGCGCATGGAAGGTTGAGTAATTTAATATGCGTGTGCATCTGGTGTACCTTCGTCGATCGTAAAGGCCTTGTTGCTGACGAGCTGGGGGGTGCTGTGGGTGCTTTCTTCGACGCGGAAGCGGTAAATGTTGCCGCTCATGCCCAAGTTGCGCTCAAAGTAGCTCGTGTTGGTCTTGAACGCAAACCCGCAGATCGTCGAGTTGAACGTCATCGGGTCGGCCGGCGTCTCGGTGTATGCAATCGGTTTAAAGTCAAACCCCGACTGTGAGATCGCAATGACGCTGAGAAACGCGAGGGCGAGCGCGAGCACCGAGAGAATGCGCGTGTAGTAGTGACCGCAGTCGACCTCGACGTACCCGCCCTTGTTGCGCACCGTGAGGCCGTTGGCCATCCAAGACGTGCCTTGGCGGTAGTTGCCCTCGACCGCCTTGAAGCGCGTGTCAAAGATGAAGACCTCGCTCGCCTCGAGGTCGGCGCGGCTCTTGTAGAACGCAATGCACGTGGGTTTGAGCACGGCCCAGCGCCGGACGGTCCCGAGGCGCCGCTCAAAGTACTTGTAGATAAAGCCGACGCCAAACGCGAGGAGCCCGAGCACGAGCGCAATCACAAACCAAAGCGGGAGGCCGGCGTGGCCAAAGAAGTCGTTGATGCCATTTTGCATCGTCGCGAGGAGGTCGTCGTTCTGGAAGGCGACGATGAGGAAGAGGAGGACGGGCCAGATGATGAAGAGGACGCACGAGACAAACGCGATGCGGAGGAGGATGCGGTACGAGTGCCGGTAGACCTTCTCGAGCCGGCGGGAGCAGAATTTCTGGAACGGAATCTGCTCGGCGCCGTTGATCTTCATGTGCACGTAGCCTTCCTTCATCGACTTCCAGCGCAAGTTGCCTTGTAATCGCAGCGGACTCATCTCGAGAAAGCTCAGAAACATTTCGCACTGCAGCGCTTCGGGAATCGCCAGCAAGCGCTGGATGTAGCCTTCGATCACGTCCTTGTCGAGCGCGCGCGATGCCGCCCGCTTCTCCATGAGGAGCGTCAGCGGCAAATGTACAAACGTGCGCTTCTTCCAGAGGAGGTAGATTGTCATGCACGCATGGAGCCGCAGAAGCTCCTTCTGACCAAAGTGAATGTGCCAGGAGGCACGCCGCCCGACGTGGACGGCCGCGCGGAAGAGGCAGGACGGCAGGAGCTGCTTCTTCACGATGCGCGTGCTCTCAATATGGAACGAGATCGCATCGCGGGCCTCGTTGCCGTCGGTCTCCATGGGCGTACTGGCCGAGAGCTCGGTGCGCGAGTCCGACTCGGCCGAGGCCGCGCGCGTCGAAGGTGGCGGCGGTGTTGTCGGTGTCCCGAGCTCGAGGTCCAGCTGGTACTCGGCGGTCGAGGAGCTCTCGCCCTTGGCGTCGCTCGGCGGCGTCATGGGCTCCGAGCCGTCGTCGTCCGAGGAACTGCTTCGGGTCTTGGCCATGCGCTCCGGCCCGATGAGGTCGGTCATGCTAAAGCGCCAAGCCGCAATACGTCGCTGCGTCTGGGTACAGGTGGGTTGCCAGCTTATTTTATTGTCGTGTGCGGTGCGCGGTACTTGATGTTTGTATGCTTTCGACGAACTGGCGTGAAATAATTTACCTTCAACTGCTTCAGGTGCGTTTTTATTATCAAATTAAATTGCTTGAAAAAAGAATGTGCTGGATCTTCATACAAATGCATCCGTATTTATTTTATTATATGGATTAAATACGACTGTGGGCCCGAACGAGGTGGAGCATCAGGCATGAATTAGGTAACAATTCGCGGGTAGCTGAACTTATTTCCTGCAGGAATAAGCTCAAGGGTCCTCTTGCTTCCAGTACCGCGGACGGAGCGCGCTCCGTGACGGACCGATACCGCTACTCCTGCTGCTGGTTGGCGTCACGGTGCTATACAGGACGTTGTCACTAACGTCGGGACGACGCCGGCCAAGTCCAACGACATCGGACCAAGGACTTTAGCAAAATGTTTGTGTAGGTTAGTAAAGTGGCGTCATCCGCACTACGATCTTAGTCGGAGAGGTAATCGCTCATGTCGTCCAAGTCGTCGTCGTCGTTCGGGTCGATCGGGTCGAGGCCGAGAGCGAGGCGGCGCGCCGCCTTGGCGGCCGCCTTCTCCTCTTCCTCCTGCTTCTTCTTCTCGCGCAGGACCTTTCGGCGCTCGCGCTCCTTCATGCCATCAAGCGACTCTTCAAACTCCTTCTCGTCTTCCTTGCGCTGGTCGGCCAACTGCTTCTCGCTCAAAACCAGCTCGTCGGCCTTGCAGCACTTGGCGCAGACGCCCTTGGCCTTGGCGCACGGCTGGCACAGCGTGTGGTACGCGGCCGTGACGGTCTTCTGGCGGCACTCGGTACTACAGGATGCATGAGCGACAACAGCGAGCAAGATGGTGAGGCCTACCAGTTGCCGGGCTGCGTAAGCGGGCGGTACTTGCGGTACTTCTTGCGCCAGACAATCTGGTCGTGGCAGTGCGGGCAGAGGCCGTGGATCGGGAGGCCGAGGATGTGCTCCGTCTTCTTACTCTTCGGGTTGTGCTTGAACGCGAACGAGTTCTGGTGCTTGGGCGCACCCTTCTTGACGTTGCCGCGCTGCGAGCTCATGACGCAGTCTCTCGAAATGAAATTGCCTCTCGCTTGACTGGTTTCCGGCGCAGCCAATCAAATTTTGGACGGCCGCAAGCCCGCGTTTGATTCGCCGATAATTGATCTTTCGCACCGTAACAGCCAATCCCACGCACGCATTATTACATAAAATGGTGTGCATACGTGATATAATGTTATATTGAGTACGCTCTCTCTCGCACGGCAAGGAGTGACATGCATGCATACACTAGTGGGTCGCAAGCCCGAAGGCAGCGCTACTTGCCTATTTGTCTACGAGAATCGAGAATCGGTGGGGCTGTTATTTCGCAGAGTCTCTGCCACGGTGGCTCCTACATGTATCTTCATCGACTTTGGGGTGGTCGAAGGATTGACCCGCCAACCTCCAGCAATGTATCTTTGAAGGCATGCACTGTGAAGGGTTTCGACGTAAAAATGACCAATCGGGGGCGACATTGAAATCGCGTGCACCAATGAGGGGCTGGATCGGGCGCTCATATCGGCTGAAACACTCGGTACAGTACCAGGTCATGGGTCAACCCTTGACCAGGTTAATGAGGACAAGCACGTGCTGTGCGAGCGAGCTACAGACCTGGCATGTACTATGTTGAAGGACTTCGATACCTGGGCCGACATTGCAGCAACGAGGAGCTCGCAGCAGCGCACTGCCCCATGGCCAAGAAGGCGCATGGCTTTTCTACAACGCCGTCAGAAGATAGAGCGACTTGGTAGTATAAAAAATGGGGATCACCACTCGGCCAAACGTCGTTGGGTTAGCGGCACGAAGCGCGGCGGAAAGAGTGGACGGTTGTCGAGAAGGAATTTCGCACTTCTGTGATTGAGCGACGGTCTAAAATCCTACACTATTCAGCACTAAGTCACACTATTCCTGGCCGCCGGTGGCGATCAACACCGAACGATGGTGCAGCTCGTGGACGCAGCGACCGTCGTGTGTCTTCGGCCATCAACGACTGCCGACGCCAGCAACAAGTGGGACGTGCTCCTCGCGCAGAGCGAGGTCAAGAACTGGCTGCGGTCCACGCGTACAAATACTATTCTCATGCGGTACCCAGGCGAGTGGAAGTTTCCCGGCGGCCAAAAGGACATGAGCGACGAGAGCCTTCGAGCGACGGCGCTGCGGGAGCTGCGCGAAGAGCTGCTTGGTATCCAAGTGCCCGAGACGGCGCGCCTGCATTGGGTGAGCACGAAGGAGACGCGCATCGTCAAGGGGCGTCGGTACCGCATGCACAACTTTGCGGCGCTCGCGAATGAGAATACGTGGCTGCAGCGCGACACGCTGGTGGACGAGATCAACGCCAACCTCGCGGCAAAGCGTGACGCGTTTGCGCTGGCGCTGTCGACCGGCGACTATTGGGCCATGGAGAACGAGGCCAAGCACGGCCTCTCGCCCGAGGTCCGGTCGATCTCGTGGTTTCGCATGGACGCAGCGATCGCGCTCCTCTCAGGCAACACGCCCTTTGTCAACGCCTTTCAAGAGACCGAGTTTGCCACGTACAGCATTGCCGCCCGCGACCCGATGTACCAGAGCATGATGACGCTCATGGACCTCGCGTCGCTGGACGCGGCTGATTTCGCCTTGCGGGCCAAAGTCTAAGACGATCGGCGGCGTCGGATAGTTTGTATCCAGATCGATATTGACGACTATCCGGGTACGAATAGTGTACATACTTCATGTGTGAAAAGGTTTGTATTGCTCGCGCCACGATCGAGCGGCGTCTGGTGTCGAAAAGCAGTGACATGGCGTCGTCAATTGTTGTTATCCAGTGAGATACGCTCTGTCAGATCCGTTGTGAGTCGTTGTACTCTGGCGCTCTGCCAGAATCTGGCGTGGGTCCAAGTCCCGTCGATAGCATCGGCGTCTGCAAGTGGCAAAGAATTGTGCTCGACACTTTTCTGCCGGCCGGCCGTACCGGTAGTTCTAGATCTAGCACGTTGGACGTCTTATTTCGAGTTATCGTGAAGCATAATGGAGGCGGTACATCCACACTGAGAACGAAACTAGGACAAAGATGGCGGCGAGACTGGCCCTCCATACAACAGTGATGTCGATGATCCCGTGGTCGTCGGACACTTCTCTGAACGTACATACGCAAGTGCGCGCGTCGTGTGGCGGGCAGAAACCGTCATAGTAGGAGCGGAGGGTCGCTGCAGTGGGACAACAGCACGGCGCTGCAGCCAGCGTGTGGCAAAACTGCATCGGGACGGGAACGTGAGCAAAGAGCGCGGTCGGGCACGTCGAGGACGCGTTTTGCAGACTGCACGTTGTGCAAGCGCTAAGGCGGTAGGGGGGCGGGTTCGCGACAAACTCGGCTGGACCGATCGAGAGCACTACGTACGCGGCGATCGCGGCAGCCCCGACGAGAAGGTAGCCAAGGGGTACCATTGATGCACGGATCAACGCTGTTCTTGACAGAGTACTTGGACGCGTCGCAGCGACAAAGTCAGTCATTCGTGCGCTGTGGTGATCGATTGAGATATGCCAACTTTGTTGATCACATGGTTTGGCACAACACACATCCGCTTGGCAAGTCATCAGGCTTGCCATTCTGCAACATTTGCAGCATGGCAAGCCTGATGACGTGGCCCACCCAAGGTGATTAAATCATACTCGTATTTTTGGATAATAATGTACAAGGGCTCCTTGTTTGTCCTAGTTATACTGCAATTGTACTACTTTACAAGCTTGCTAATAGACGCAGATCATCCAGACCGTGAACGACAACAGTAGAAAAATGGCAGAGCTAATGCAAACCAGCATCACGAGACCGTCGGACATGCTAGCACCCTCCCCGCGGGCGTCGACAAACTTGCACGTGCACGTTGGTGACGCGGGTGGTGGGCAGCTTCCGTCGTACTCAAAGCCGTAGCGACGAGCGTTGGTAGGACAGCAGCACGATGTCGACGCTGCCGTGATGCAAAACTGCATTGTGTTTTTGAGCTGCGGAAACAGAGCAGTGGGGCAGCTCATGGGGGAGCTCTTGGCGCGCGGAGCTACTCTGCAGGCATTGCAGGCGGCGCTGTTGTATGCCGGCGCGTCTTCCGAGTAGTACCGTGGCGGAAGCGAGAGCACGGCGTAGAGAATGATCGCAATGATCCCCGCGACGAGATAGAGGAACGGGGCAACCTTGCGCACGCGCGACGGCTTCTTGGAGGGATCCGCCGTGATCAGCGCTTCGCCCGAACTCATTTCTACTGTGTCGATTGAAAAATGAAATCGCTGGCGTCGTTTGGCGTCGCCTGGGTCCCATAGTAGTACCAGGGCTGTCAGACACAGACTCACGCCATCCACGTCAACGTCAAAGCTGCTCCGTGTCGGAACGGGTGGTCATTGCAAAATGAAATTGATGAAGGCATTGGACGACGGTTCAGTTTCTTCCGCTAGCGCCGCGGTGAGCGCCTTGTCGACTAGTGCCGGACCGCCCAAAAATCCAGAGGGCGCATTACCAACATTCCGAAACTTTGATTTGCAGGAATGATGGCTCGATCGGCTGGACCGTGTCGGTGTGGACAGGACACGAATTTCAAGTGTTGTTGAAGTGGGTCGTCTATTAAAATAGATACGTATTATCTACGCTAAATAAAATGGTCGGACTTTCTTCGTTGTGTAGGCGCTGGAGTTGATCTTGATCTAGGCCGGCGGAGGCAGGAGTGCTATCCGCGGGACAAGGTGCTGGCACTCGTGTTGAGCGAGGAGCCGGAGAAGGCGATCGAGAGCCATCTGTCCGAGCCTTTGAACGAGGCTGTGGTGCAAGTGCATTTGAGCGGCACGCGCCGCCTTGACTGTGCTCGGACATGGCAGTGGGAGGTCGGCGCGAAAGACGCGATCGTTTCGGACGCGCCAGACGTTGAACCAGACGCAGGCGCGGAGCACTGGCCAGAGGTAGCGGAACGCGGCTCGGTGCATGTTGGAGGCTGTCTTGGGCGTCGAGTAGAGGTAGCCCGAGAGTGTTGTCGGCAAGACCTGTGACCACGTGGAGCGTGTTCCACACGTCCTGGATGAAGTCACAGTCGACGAGGAAGTGGTGGTACGTCTCGTGCTCGGGGCAAAAGAGGCACGCCTGGTCGGCCGTGTCGAGCCAGTGCAAATGAGCGCGGAGCTTGACCGCGCGAAGCATCACTTGGTAGACGAAGTCGGCGTACTTGGGCAAGATGGCGTCGGGTAGTCGGAGCTCGGCAGCGGAGGCGACGGCTGCAGGCGGCTTGTAAAAGTCGTCGTCGACGTCCAAATGGCGGGTCGGGAGCTTGTAGTTTGTCTTTGGCGGGGCACGGCTGCAGAAGTGGCCATCACACTGAAATCATGGATATATACATATAGATATTGATAGATAGATAGATAGATAGATAGATAGATAGATAGATAGATAGATAGATAGATAGATAGATAGATAGATAGATAGATAGATAGATAGATCCTCCAATCGCGACGCCACTTGCATTCCGAGGTAAACGTCAAGAATAAAGAGACTTGTATTTCGTCGGATGCCCCATGGGCAATCCAGATTCTATCGATACCATTGCGAACTCCTACACCTAGTATACTGCTATCCTACGAGAGCGCGACGCCGTTCGAGTCGACAATGTGGTACCCGAGGGCGTAGAGCATCTTGAGCGTCGCCTCGGCCGTCTTGATGTCGTAGTCCTTCTCTGCGTCCGTGAGAAACACGTACGGCACGAGACACACGTGCTTCTTGAGCTTATCGTTGCGCGCTTGGCCGTACGTCCAGCCGTCGTCCATGCGGCCTTTGGACCACACTTCGTGCGCGTTCTCCGCAAGCAAGTCCATGAGCCGCTTGAGGCCCTGCGGAAAGACCACCTGCGACGTGTCGACCGGTCGCGGCGTGTACACCTATATCGATATCCATCAACGCGAAAGTTCGATTGCTTGCGTACCTGGCCGTCGCTGCCATACTTGATCGTATGCGACACGTCCCGCAGCGAAAAAGACTTGACGAGCGTGCTGGCTTTTGGCGACGACGCGAGCGGGATGCCCTTGTCGCCACTCGACGAGCTCGAGACGTTGCTCGACGAGTGCATGAGGCTTCTCGCCCACTTGAGCGCGCGTACGATCGTGTACTTCATCGCAATGATCGTCTTGATCGTCTCCATCGACGTGCGCACGTCGTAGCTCTGCTCGGCTTCCGACATTTCCGCGTACGGGATCAAGTTCGGGTGCGTCTTGAGCGTATCGTCGCGGCGCGGACCCCAGCTCCAGCCCTGCTCGATGCGCTCGATCGCCCAGATGTCGTGGACGTTCTCGGCCATGGCTTCGCCGAGCGCGAGCAAGTTGGGACCGAGCTACCACATGTCCGTCAAACCACAATACTGTTTGCCAAGAAATATATTTGTACCTCGACCATGCTCGTGTCGATCGGGTTGGGAATGTACTCGTGGCCTTCCTTCTCGCGCGACGGCATATCGATCAGCGAATTGCGGAACCGGTACATGACGAGCGCCGTCTCCCGCTTGACGTGCGCTTGGTCGATCTCGCCATTGCGCTTCTCCTTGCGGAGGTACAAGTCCAAGAGGCGCGAGAGCTCGTCAAACCGCAATGTCGTCTTGCCCCGCTCGCGCTCGTCCTTGAGGAGCTGGTACAAGTGGTAGTCGTCGACCAAGTGCGCCTCGTACGGATCCCACCACTTGGTCGCGCGCAGGATCGCGGCTCGGAGCTCGCTCAGTAGAATGCGCAGCACATGAATGCCAAAGAGCCGCATCGGAAGCCGGAGCGTCTCGCCGCCCGCAAGCTCCATGACGTCGTCGTCGTCATCGTCGTGACTGAGGACCACGCACGAGACCGACAAGCTGTTGTGGTCGACGACGCGCAAGAGCAAATCTTGACCAAGGATCGAGTCGCCCGTGAACCGGATCGTAATGCCCTTGGGCAAAAGCATCTTGATGGTCGCGTGGTCGAAGTTCTCCGAGAGCGGAATGTACGTCATGCGGTTCGGGTCGTGCGACGCAGTCGGCGCCTTGGACCGGTCAAAGTCGAGCCGCGTGTCAAACTTGACGCCAAACCGGAGAAGCGCCACGACGCGCCAGACCGCGCCGCGGAAGAGCTTCTTTGCGCGCTGGCGCGTGAGCTCCTTATCGACGAGGTTGGTCGAGATGAGCCGAACGGTTTGGTTGGGCCGGAGCACGATGCTTTCGCGGTTCCGGAGCTCGACCGACGGCGAGCACGAGCTCATAAACTCCTTGGCGCGCGTAATGATATCGTACTCGACGTCGTCTTCGTCCGACCCGACGCCCTTGGCGTTGTCATAGTACTCGGAGAGGATGGCCACAAACATGTTGACCATGATTTGCAGCACGAGCACGACAAACGTCACAAAGAAGAAGGGCGCCAAGCGCGGGTTGGCCTGCTGGAGGCGGTCGTACGGGAAGTCGCCGGCCAGCATGTGAAAGCACGTGCCATAGCTCTTGGAGATGGTCGAGAATTCCTCGAGGTCAAAGCCAAATGCATACGAGCCCATCGTCGAGTACGAGAGGAAGATGAGCTGGAAGATGACGAGGTACCCCATGAGGTCGCGGAGCGCCATGCCCAGCACTTGCCAGAGCAAGTTCAACGTCGAGTTCATACGCAAAAACTTGAACACTTTCAAAAGCGAAAACGCCGACGAGAGCGCTGCATAGTCGCTCAGCGAGAGAAACGTGTCGAGCAGCATGAGCATGTGCGTGTGCACCTCGAGCACGTCGCCGTCATTGTCGTCGACGCCGTGGACCGCTCGGATCGTGGCGCGGCACTGGCCAAAGTACACGAAAATGTGCAAGACGGTGCAAATGACCGCGAGCAAGTGCGCCATCTCAAAGAGGTTCCAGCCGTCGAGCGTCAAGTACGAGGTGATGCCCATCTTGACAATCTCGGAAATCTCGCCGCGTAGGTACGTACCCACAAAGCCGACGACCGCGAGCAAGAGAAGGTACTGCGCGTCGCACCACCACAGCCAGGACGAGAGCGACGACGGCGAGGCATCGAGGCCGAGCACGCGGATGCTCGCACTTTGCGAGTACTGTTCGAGGTGGCCCGACGGGCGAATCACAAACTCGTGCGACGCGATCGTAAATACATGCGTCGACGGGTTCACGACCACAAACTCGAGCGAGACGGCGCGGGTCGCCATGTCGAGGTAGCTGTCGGCTTCGAGCTCGTCCACATCACCAATCTCGCAGAGGTCGACCGCGTACCCGCCCGTGCCGTACGACGTCGTAGTAAAGCGCGAGTTTTGCCCCGGAATGAGCGGCTCAAAGTCATTGTGCCACACATACGTGCGGTTTGCGCCGAACAGCGCCGCCTTCTCCTCGAGCGCGTCGTCAAACTCGGGGTAGCACGTCTGCTTGTCGTCGTGAAGAAAGCTCAGCGCGCACTTCTCTGGCTTGACGCGGATCTGGCGAAAGCGGACGCCGCCGACGCGCGTCCAGGTCTGGAAGGTCGTGGGTGACGCAGCGGCCGGCGCGTGGCAGATGCGCGACTGCAAATGCTTGGCAAAGCTGTAGATGCCATCGGGCGACGAGACCGAGCAGACCTCGGGCACACTGCACGTCAAGTCGACCGTCACGTCGCTCTGCTGGAACGAGCCGTGGAACGGGAGGCCGCTGAGCAGCTGGAAAAAGAGGAGGAGGAAGACGCAGTAGACGACGAGCTCTTCGTAAAACTCTGAGCGCTTGACCTCCTTGTACTGCGCGTTGAGAATGCGCAAGTCGAGCTTCTTTTTTTCGAGATGGAGGCCGTGGATCGTTGTAAAGCTGCCGCTGCTCGGGTGGTCCTTGGGCCACATGGACTTGAACGAGTTGGCCGCGCGACGGGATGCGACAACCTTCTTGGCGACGTCGGCCAGCGACTTGGACGTCGGCGTCGCGCTTGCGGCATTGTCGTCCTTGGCCTTTTCGGCAATACCCGAAGTACGCTTCTTCTTGAGCTTGGCCGCGGCCGCGAGCCATTGCCCGCTCGATCGACTCTTCATGAGCAACGGCTTGCGCGCCTTGACCTCGGCGCGCTTGTCGGACGAAGGTGGGAGGCCCAGGAACGGCGCTTCCTCGACCGCGCTCGAGGTTTCGAGCGTGTGGCTGTTGCTGCGCGCAGGCGGCCGCGGGATCGTTGTTTGTATGTCGTTCGTACTACGTGACCGTGCGCGACCACCAGGGCTCGGCGGCGGCTCGGCAAACGATGTGGTTCGAGGGCCCGGCGGCGGCTCAAGTGCTTCCAGCTCCTCGCGCGTCAAGAGCGAGTGGTCCGAGGCCTGCTTGGCGACGGGCTTGGGCGCCTCGTCCGGCGCCTTCTCATTCTCGGCGTCGTCCTCGAGGATGACGCCATTGTCCTGCAGCGTCTTGCTCGACCGATGGAGCATCGCTGCCGGTCGAGTTCAATCGCGGAAATGACATCTCGCTGGCGTAGTTCGCTGGGGCTGCGACATGTTGCAATATTAATATTGCCGATATTTTATTCCCAATACAAATGTTGTATATCAAACGAATTAAATACTGGATTCGTGGCTGGGTTGTCTTGGTGCTGGTTTTTATTTTGGCTTCCATGGCCCTGTGCCCCGGGGTCCCACCTGCCCTTCTATGACGTTGTGGCACTCCCGCCATGCTCGGTGCATCGTCTCATGCACGCCCCTCTTGCTGCCAAGTGCATTTTGCGAGGTATCTTCATACAGTGCCATTCTCGAGTCGCTGGTCGGCCAAACGCTGTGCACCTGGTCTTGTAGGCCAGTGGTATGGATGGTTGTCTGCTGGATTTTTGGCATGTGCGTCATGCATTCTGCGTCATTGGAGCTTGGAGATTGGACCCAGCCAATAATGAAAAGGGTGTGAAAAGATGGGTCTACAGACTTGCCTGCATGATGAGCCTCGTCGCTTTGTTTTACAATCCCCAGTCCGCCGCAGAGGGTTACGCAGTTGATGCGGATGCTGGGTACACAACCATCAACACATGACGATTCCAGACGACGCCAGAGCCGGACGACAACCTCCTTCACCGCTTCTACATTTGACAATGTTGTTGCCGTCAAGGTCCAGATGTGGGCGAGAATCATTGATTGCCACGAGGCTGCGAGGTTTAGAGCGTTGCCGTCGATGCCTGGCAGCCCTTGCGCGAGCATTTTGCCTTTGAATAGACGCGCCTTGCTCGCCCTGCAAAACGCAAGGGCGTGAAGAGTATATACATTACATGTATATCAAGAGCAGTGGGCTGGGGCCACTCGACGTTTAAGTTGGGCTGGGTGTGCCTGCACAGAGGGCCACGTCACAGGCGCATTCCTCTCGATGCAAATGGCAGGTTGTTCGGGTTGTTTATCCGGATTTATCCGGATATGAGGCGTTTTAACCTGTCCTGCCGCCACGTCATTTGCGTGACCAGGCGCTGTCACGGCGTCCCGTGAGATCTGCTTCAACGCCATCTCTTGTTCGCCGAGATGCAACCTCTCGGACTTGTACCTTCCGCACTCCTATAGCATCGTCTCGGACTTTGGGGTGACAAACCCCACAAGCCCTTTGAGTGCCCGATGTCACTACAGACTGTACCTTGGCACCACCAAAGAGTCTTGGTATGTCTGCGTTCGAAGAGACGATTGCGATGCTCCGATATGGCCACATACCTCCCGAAGGTGGGAGACAACCTGTTGCCACGACGCCGCTGCAAGCAGCCTCGATATCTGCAACGAAACCGCCAACGTCGCCAGTCACAGTCGGTTCTGTGACGGCTGATGTCCGGCTTTACACCCGAGTACAAAAAAACTAGATGGATTAGGGGCTATGAAGAAGAATTACTGGAGCTTGGCCTTGAGGATGTCCTCGAGCTTGACAATGTCGGCGCAGAAGCCGCGGATACCTTCCGAGAGCTTCTCGGTGGCCATCGCATCTTCGTTCATAGCGAAGCGGAACTCCTTCTCCGTGAAGGTCACCTTGGCGCCGTTGTAGTTGGCCTGCGCGGCCTCGGCGTCGAGCTTCTTCGTGACGACGTCCGTCGAGTTGGCGAGCTCTTCGAGGAGGTTGGGCGAGATCGTGAGGCGGTCGCAGCCGGCAAGCTCGAGCACTTCGCCCGTGTTGCGGAAGCTGGCGCCCATCACAATCGTGCTGTAGCCGTGCTTCTTGTAGTAGTTGTAAATGTTGGTGACCGAGACGACGCCCGGGTCCTCGACCGACGTGTACGCCTTGCCCGTCTTGGCCTTGTACCAGTCCAAGATGCGGCCGACGAACGGCGAGATGAGCGTCGCGTCGGCTTCGGCACACGCAACGGCCTGGGGGAAGCCAAAGAGGAGCGTCATGTTGCACTTGATGCCCTCCTGCTGAAGGAACTTGCAGGCCTCAATGCCTTCCCACGTGCTGGCAATCTTGATCAAAATGCGGTCCTTGCTGATGCCCGCGGCTTCGTACATACCAATGATGCGGTGGGCGCGGTCGATCGTGGCGGCCGTGTCAAAGCTGAGGCGCGCGTCGACTTCGGTCGAGACGTAGCCGGGCACGATCTCGAGGATCTTCTTGCCAAAGTTGACGCTGAGCTGGTCAATGATGTGGCCGAGGCGCTCTTCGTCCGTGACGCCCGAGAGCGACTGGCCGTACGCGATCGCGTCCGTGACGAGGTCCGCGTACTGGGGCATCTGCGCGGCCTTGAAGAGGAGCGACGGGTTCGTCGTCGCGTCCTGCGGCTGGTACTTGGCGATCGAGGCAAAGTCGCCCGTGTCGGCGACGACGGTCGTGAGGTGCTTGAGCTGGTCGAGTTGCGACGCCATGGTAATAGAACTGAGTGGAGGCTTCGAGGGAAATTCCAAAGTGAAAACTCAACGGCGCCCCACGCGCTCGGATGACGTCATCCCACTCTCACGGCCAATCCGATCCACTGCCGTCGACCCGCTCAAGTGCGATGTATACAAAAACCAAGCTAAAGACGGAGCAAGTGCGGATTCGAGCGTGTCGCATAAGGTGAAAGGCAGCCAATCAGGACCTCAACGGCAAGCAAAGCGGGCTGTGGGCGGTGCGACGCCGATGGTTCTTGAAGTTGGTCTGCCGCCGGCAGGGGCATGTCGCACGTCCGAAGGCTCGCGAGGCCGGCGTCGGCCGCTAGTTCGGGTGCCAAGTGGCGTCGTTGCCAGGAAACCGCCAGCGCATGGCCACCGCACGCGCAGCCTCGCCACGCTAGCAGGCGACAGCAATGGCGCGACCGAGCGTGTAATGCGTATGTGGCGGGATCGCAACAAGCGGTTGTTGAGGCGGCAAGGGTGCAGCGTTCAAGATTATCTGCGTGCGCTTCGCCATCTTCAACCTGTATCCCGCCTCTCGCGCACGTCCACATCGCTGTAGCGTCGGTCTTGTCGCGCTTTGTCCCGAACGTTCGTATGGCCACGACCGCTCCGATGGGAAGAGACTTCCAGCGCCATCGTCCATCGTGCTAGGACGAGAGGACTCTTGGCGATGCGCTACAGGTCAAAATCGGGTACTACATTATTGGGGCGGAATAAATAATAGAGATGACGAGGGTCTACACTAGCTCGTAGCCACCGTTGCGCCGGGCGTGTTCAAACATGGCTTTTTGCCGCAGTAGCGCGCGCCGGTCCTGCGCGAACCGCTCGGCGTCGGCTTCGATCTCTTCACGGACCTCGCCTTGGAGACGCAAAAGCACTTCAACGAAATTCGGGCGCTCGGACGGGCGGTCGCGGAGACAGTCCTCAATGAGCTTACGGCGCTGCGGCAGGCACGTATTGGGCAGCGACGGCCGGAGTCCGTCCCGTGCGACGCGCATCATGACCTTGAGGCCCGTCTCGTTGATCTCGTGGTACGGTGTCTGTCGTGTCTCGAGCTCCGTGAGCACAATGCCAAACGAGTAGACATCGGCGCCAATGCCGTAGCGCTCGTTGCGAATGACTTCAGGTGCGAGCCAGAACGGCGTGCCGACGACCGTCGTGAGCGCGTCGAGGTCCTTCTTGTAGCGCCGGCTCAAGCCAAAGTCGCTCACTTTACAGCCAAAGGTCGCCGAGCAGAGGAGGTTGACGCTCTTGAGATCGCGGTGGATCACCGGTGGTTCTAAAGTGCAAACTCAAACGGCAAACTCAAAAGCGCCGAAAATTATACCTTGCGAGTGCAAATAGAGCATGCCTTGGACAGCATCGACCGCCATCTTCAAGAGCGGGTCGCTCCACACGAACGCGCGGCCGAGCGCCGAGTGGAGGACGTTGTGCATATCGCCCTGCTCCATGTACTCGAGCACCATGCACACGTTGGAGCAGTTGTCCCAGCTGGCACCGATAAACTGCACAATGTTGGGATGCCGGAGACATGACACGAGCTCAATCTCTTCGCGAAAGTGCTCGATCGACGACACGGTGATCTGCTCACGGCGCATGCGCTTGCAGACGACCATCGTGCCCAGATACCGCGCCTACGAACAGCGTCAAATTTGAAATCGTAGCGCAAAGAAGTAAGTACTTTGATGACTTCGCCACTCGCCCCGCGGCCAATGATCTGAAGAAACTGGAGGTCCGCAAACGGGATCGCGACCACTTGGAGGTGCTTGGATTTTAGAGTGCCGTTGACCGCCTCGGTCTCGGCGTCGCAGGCCGGGTCGTTCATGAGCATCGCTTCGGCCGCGTCCAGTTTGTCTTGGAGGTCGGCGTTCTCCTTCTCGACGTGGAGCTTGGCCAAGAAGGCGCGGCGCGCGGCGCGGTCCGAGTAGTAGCACGTAATGCAGAGGAGGATGCCGGGAAAGATGACGCCCGTGAGGAGCACGGCTTGCGGCGTCAGCGCATATGCGTATAGGACGCAGGTGAGCGACACAATCGAGAGCACGAGGAGCGAGACGACGTGGGGAAAATCGAGGTGGAAGATGACGCCGAGCGTGGCGCCGACGAGGACGACAAAGACCGAGCCGACAGAGACGAGTGCGCTGTACAGGTTGAGGCTCATGAGCGGGAAGTCCATGTTGAGATAGGCCGTCGAGTTGCATCCTTCCTCGGTCTGCGCGGACCGCATCGCGTCGTCAAAGCGCGTCGTCGCTTCTTGGCTCATGTAGGCAAACCAGATCTATAAGCGACTCGTGAGGGTACGCACTTTGAAGACGGCGACGTACTTGGATGCCAGTCATGAAGAAGAGGAGGATGAACGTTAACGTCATCTTCCAGCGCCTGCGGAGCGGACTCGACTCGTCGACCCACGAGAGGTACGGCAGCGCGAGAAGCAGGTACGCCCACTGCAAGTACTCGTGCGGGTTGGAGTAGTTGGGCGCAAAGAGGTCTTTTCCGTTCATCTTGTTTTTGCCAATGTTGGGCTCGTCCTTCATCCAGTAGACGAGGAAGAAGACGACGTGCAGCAGAATGAGGAGGCACACGACGTTGCGCGCACGGGCGTACCAGTGCAGAAGGCAGTACTCTTGGTAGATGGCCTCGAGGTATGGGTCCAGGAAGCGGCAGCTCATGCGGTAGAAAAGTGTCGCGTCCAAGTCAGGGCTGTTGTTGTGCAGGCTCTGTGCGCTGTTCGATGCAGCCAGTGTCGTCGTTGGCTGGTCGAGCTCGATGGCCATCATCGGCGGTCCGCCACTCGTTGATGACGGCGGCAGCACCGAGTCGCTCTCCGTGTCGCGCAGCCCGTGCCGGCTGTGGCACGTCTTGCGCTTCATGAGCTCGTTGACGACGCGCTCGATGCGTATGATCTCCATGAAGTCGTCGTCGACGGCCTCGACCTCGTCCTTGCGTCTCTTGAAGAAGACCATGGCCGCGGCGCCGCTTCCGCCTTGTTTTGTTTGCTGTGGCCGCCAGCGCCAGCTGCCACCATATCCGGACGACGATGGATTCGCCATCTGTGATTGGTTCCAGTTGGCCAATGAGCGCGCGAAGGAATTCGAGCCAGAGTCGCACGAGCAATTTTATTTGTTCTATCATTTTCGGCACATTTGGTCAGGCAGGGTTTTCTGTTTCGCGAAAAAAGCCATCGGTTGTATCGGCCTTTTGTTTTAAAATTATTACGATGTAAACAGGGTAGATCAGCAACCCCTAGGTGCATTTGGTATACAAACTTGCACTTGGATGGCGAAATGAATTGCACCCACACGGTTTGAGATTGAGATTGCACTTCGAAAGCGTGTTGAAGCGCGGCGGCATGTCCGGTTGGCCAAGCGGGGCCGTCGATGGAAGGCAGAGCAAGACCTTTATTACAGCACAATTACCTCGCCTAGCATATCTCGGCTGCACGCGATCGGCAACGGGGAGCTGCCGACGGGACATGCACTCTGGTACTTTGGCAAGCTCAGAAAATCGCTGAGCAAACCCGAAGGACCGCCGCGGTTGGCGGCTCTCTCTCGCTGGTGGCACCAAGCGTGCAGCGACGTTGTAACAGAAGCTGGAAGCGTGTGGACCATACTGACCAGTGCGGTCTGCTCTCTGTTGACAGTGAGTACCTTCGGACCTTGCACCAAAACTGTCATCGGTTCGGACAGTTAAGACGTATCTGCCGATCGCGCTCGAACGATTTCGTCCGGTCATGTTGTCGTGGACCCAAACTAGTATCCGTACGATCATGCTGCTCGACACCTCGGCAGCGCCATGACCACATCCATTGTCGTCTTGAACGTAGTCTGCTGCATCTACCAGAGCTAGTTTGCGATTCGGTTGGCGTAGCCGACGCTAGAGCTGCTCCAGCGCTGGGACCATGACGCACTTCTGCGGCTCTCGTTTGAGTCTGGGAAGCTCGATTATCAAAGAATGGAAGAGCTTGGATCACTAGCGGCAATGCCAACACAAGTGACTTGGCAGTTTCTCGCATGACGTGGCATCGCCAGCGCCAACCGCGCTTTCTGGGAACGTGCACCCGGCAAATCATTCAACAACAGTCCTTGAATGGCCAAAGTCAGTTGGCAATTGGTCATGGCGTCATCAGACTCGCCGCATTATGTCGACATTGCAATGGATGCGGCCCTTGCAACGGCGCTGATCCGCGTCAAGTTGCCCGAATTCCCCAAGGTCGCGGCCATCGCGGATGTCAGAGTCGGCTTCAACAACCACTGCTACGTCGTGACGACGCCGGACCAGCGCTCGTACATCCTTCGGCTCACGAAAGACTCATGGCCTGCGACCAAGATCGTTGCTGAAGCCGCATCCCTCGCCGCGGTGCGCTACTGGAAGCTGGACATTCCTGTGCCCAAGCTCATCGCTTTCAACGAAGTGAGCGATCCGACGTGGCACGTGCGCTGGATGCTCATGGAAAAGCTGCCGGGTCGCCTCCTCGACGACGTCTGGGATGGCGCTGATGAGGCCACGCGAGCAAAGCTTGCCCTTCAGATCCAGACGATTCTGAAAACGCTCCAGACACCGCGCTTCTCTCAGATTGGCGGCTGGGTGTTTGACAACGATGGGGCAACCCCGATCGTTGGTCCATACTTTGACGGCAACTGGGGCCCGTTTGACTCGGAGGCCGACTGGCTGGGCACGCTCTTTGAGAACCAAGTACGCCAGACGCTAACTGCAGAGGCGCTGGCACCGCTTCGATTCCTCGTGGCACCTGCGCGCGCTGCACTGAAGCAGTATCTGGAGACGACAATGTCGCCGTCGCCACTCGTGCTCTTCCACGGGGACTTTGCCTTTCGTAACATGCTCGTCGACGACCAGAATGTGGTGTCTGGTATTCTGGACTGGGAGTGGTGCGGTGTGATGCCTCGCTGGCGTGAGTACGTCGACGCATCGTTTGAGGACCGGAACGTTCTGAGCTACGTTCCGTCACTCGAGTACGAAAACCGGGAAGAGTACACGCAGCGCTGGCATGTGCACCAGCTCATCCAAGGGTTTGCTCCGTGGCAGATTGGCGCCTGGCCAGAAAAGGACGCGCAGTACGTGGCTGAGGCCATCGTGACCATCGAGGCCGCCGTCGCGCATCTCGAGGCGTGTACTAGTACGACGAACTAGCGAATACTCGAAGAAAATGTTTTCATGCTTTTAAAGTGCCAAGCTACGATGCGTGTTTGAATCGCCGTGGGCTTTAACATTTACACCGTGGCCAAGAGCGTACGAAAGCTTTAGCTCCATGTTCACTGCGCTCAGTTGCGGAAATGGCCCTGCCACGACGCGACCAACTGACCAGAGAGTGCAATGGCTCCTGGGAGCCTTTTTGCTCTCCGCGTCACAGAAGATAGTGAGCCGCCGGAAGGGTATTCCACGTTGGTTCGCGAGCCAAGGCAAAAATACATAAGCGCAGTGCACCCTACGCTTGACGTAAAGGTGGTTGGTTAATTGGCCTCCAGCTTCGACCGCCTCGATTGATCCAACCCTTGACGCGCTCTTCGTGGTTCTTGTCCGAACGGTTCACATTGCCGCTTGGCTGCTTCCATCGCTTTGGTCCACGTTGCGTCGCCTTGGCCGGTTTACCTTCGTTGACCAGCGCGCTTCGTTAAACTAGTCCAGCTTCAACGTTGGGTGGACGGTGCGTTCAAGCATGGAGCTCCTTGGTCCAAGCAATCATTTCGGCCCCGGCATCTCGGGCGTCCTGCGGCTTCTGCCGTGCACCATTCCATTGGGTGCAGCCAAGAGGTTCCTACCATGAGCTCAAACAAGGCAGCGGGCCACTCGGATGTACGGAGAAAGACTGGACGGTAGTTGTGCTGGTACGAGCACTAGCTGCGTAGTACTCTCTGCAGACAGCATATTGCCTCCCCGTGCACCTGGTTCAACAGGATATCACTGCCACCGGAAACGAATATGACGAGCGTCATTGGTGCCGCTGTCTTTACGGCCATCTCACCCAGCAAGGTATACTAGCCCTCGCATGGACTCATGGCCGCTCGACTTACTACTGATCAAAGCATCTCTCAGTTGCACGAGCACCGCGGTGTATCCTGGATCATCCGGATACCATCTGCGAACCGCGGACCAACTGGAACCGCTGAAGTCGGGAACCTTCCAGCGATGCTTTGAGCGTAGCCTCATTTTCATTCTGTGACCGACAAGACAAGCATGGCTTCCCAGCGCCTCGCGACGTCGCTCAAGACGGTCATCTTCAACCAGACGATGCTGCGCGTGAAGGACCCGAAGAAGAGCGTGGCCTTCTACGAGAAGCATTTCAACATGACGCTGGCGCACGCGGCGCACTTTTCCGACTTTAGCCTCTACTTCCTCGTCTCGCTCCCGACGACGACGCTGCCCGAATCCAAGAAGACCATCGACTACGTTTGGTCGGGCGAGTACGGATGCACGCTCGAGCTCACGCACAACCACGGCACCGAAGCCGACCCGGCCTTTGCCTACCACGCCGGCAACACGGCGCCGCTCAGCTGCTTTGGCTACGTCGGCTTCAAGGTGCCGTCGGGCCGTCTCGGCGCGGCGCGCGCGGCGCTCAAGGCCGATGGCTTCACCGCCAAGGACGACAAGGCGGCGCTCGTGACAGCCGACCCGGATGGGTACTCGGTCCGCGTTGAGGAGCGCAGCGCGGCCGCGACCAACCCGAACCCGTCCTGGCACCGCAGCATGATCCGCGTCCGCGACGGCAAGGCGAGCGCTGAGTTTTACCAGCGCATTTGCGGCCTCTCGCTGTACGGCACGCAGCGCAACGAGGACGACCAGTCGACCTCGTACTTTCTCGGGTCGGTGGCCGCGGACGCGTCGTCGCCGACATGGCTTGCGGACCAATTGGGCACGGTGCTGGAGCTGCGCCAGTTTGATAACGCGCCGACTGAGTACCTCAACGGCAACACGGAGCCGTACCGTGGGTTTGGCCACCTCGCGCTCATCGTCGACGACGTGTACGAGACGTGCGCGGCCATGGAAGAGCTCGGCGTGCAGTTCCAGAAGAAGCCCGACGACGGCCGCATGAAGGGCCTCGCGTTTATCAAGGACATTGACGGCTACTGGATCGAGATCATCCGCCGCCAGCCGCTTGCCGCGTAATTTGTGTAACACGTGCTCCTTCCATCGCTCTCGCCGCCTACATGTAGCTCCCGCATTTGCCTTGAGAAGCCTCGTTGGTGTCGCCGACGAGCATGGTACTACGACCACGCTCACGCAACTGCCGCTCCGCACGCCTCTACCAACTCACGTCTCGCACGGGCATGCTATTCGCACGGAAGGTCGCCACATGCGACGTATCCTACCATGATGCCCAGGACAGGCGCAGGTGCATTTCTGAAGTTGGCCGTTGGCGTGCATAGACGCCGCGGCCGCCATCCAGCGGGGCCATGCCAGTACTACCGTGTCATTGACGGTCGACGCAGCATTGTCAGCGAGAGGTTGCGGTTGCGGCTGCGCCATGGCGGCGCCGTCTTTGCAGTCGGCGCATGGACCCGACGCCATCGTCGCTGGCTGTTGCCGCCGTCACCGCAGCCATCCTCGTCGAGCCGCCATCAGTTCCTCCTGCGGCGACGCCAAGTGTGATGCGACCGCGTCGTCGCCGGCGTCCGTCGGTCGCGTACTGTACGCTGGATTCGGTGCTTGCCGTTATTATTATGTCTCCGTTCCGTTTATTTTAATGCGGCTCTGCCATGCGACATACAAAAAGTCAATGGTTTGGCCGAGTCTTTTAAAAGTGGCGAAAAAATACGCGGCCGCCACTCGCATCATCAGTGGGGTTTGCGCCGACGGACAAGGAGATGGAGACCAGCAGCAGCGTCCGCGTCGTCGTCCGCGTCCGGCCGCTCGTCCCGAAGGAGAAGCTCGAGGACGACAACCATGCAGTCGAGACCTTTGGCGCCCAGGTCATGATCCCGTCCAGCAACGTCACGTACACGTACGACCACGTCTTTGGCCCGGAGGCCGGGCAGGACGACCTCTGGCCCTGCATCGCGCCGCTCGTCGACTCGACGTTCGAGGGCTACAACGCGACCATCTTCGCCTATGGCCAGACCGGGTCCGGGAAGACGTTCACGATGGGCTCGGGCAACAGCGCGTTCGCGACCAAGAGCGACGAGATGGGCATCATTCCGCGGGCGCTCGACGACATCTTTGCGCGCATTGCACTCAAGCAGGTCGAGACGCCAGGCTACCGGGCCGAGGTGACCTTCCGCTTCCTCGAGATCTACGGCGACGACATCCGCGACCTCCTCTCGCAGTTTGGGAATGGGACGCTCGACACGAACGCCAAGGTAACGCTCAAGGAAGGCTCGGCGGGCCAAGTCCAAGTCAACGGCGCGCGCGAAGAGCCGGTCAACTCGGCCGCCGAGTGCATCAAGCTGCTCGACAAAGGCAGCTTTTGCCGGACGGTCGGCGCCACCGACATGAACGCCGAGTCGAGTCGGTCGCATGCGATTCTGACCATCACGATGACGCAGCACATTCCATTTGGCGACGCGTCGTCCGAGGCGCCCGAGTGCGAAGTGCGCAGCTGCTACTTCAACTTTGTCGACCTCGCGGGCTCGGAGAAGCAAAAGATGACCAAGGCCGAGGGGCTCCGGCTCAAGGAAGGCATTGACATCAACAAGGGCCTCTTCGTCCTCGGCAACGTCATCAACGCCCTCGGCGACGACACGCGCCGCGGCCGCGTGCACGTCCCGTACCGCGACTCGAAGCTCACGCGCATGCTGCAGGACTCGCTCGGCGGCAACAGCCGGACGCTCATGCTGTGCTGCGTGAGCCCCGCGGGACGCAACATCTCCGAGTCCAAGAGCTCGCTCATGTATGCGAACCGCGCGCGCAACATCCAGAACAAGGCCGTCATCAACCGCGACGAAGCGTCGGCGGTCGTCGCGGAGCTGCGCGCGCAAGTGCAGTCGCTGCAGGAAGAGCTCTTCCAGTTCCGACACCCCGGCGCCGACATGAACGATCCGCGCGTGCAGGCCGCGGCGTCCGAGTGGCGGCTCGATAGCTTTGGCTCGATGCGCCAGCGTACCGAGGCGGCGGAAAACGAGGTGCTCCGGCTCACGTCCGAGATCAAGCGCTGGCGCAACGAGACCGACGCGATCAAGGAGGAGCTGCTCGTGACGCAAGGCCAGCGCGACTACTTTCGCATGTGCTGCGAAGCCTCGGGCACAGGTCTCCTCGACCCGAACGGCGAAGAGATGGGCCTCGTCAAGGAGCAGCTCAAGACGATCCAGGAGCTCCAGGAGAAGCTCCGGGCGGCCGAGGGCGAGCGGGACAAGGCGCACATGTTTGCTCCGACGTCGTCGTCGCACCAAGAGCTGGACATGGCGTCGTTTGGCTTGACCGCCGACATGCTCGAGGAGGAGCAGCGGCTCATCGAGCAGGCCGAGCAAGAGATCAAGCGCGAGCAAGAGATGCTCAAGCAGATCCAAGCGCAAGCCGTCTTCTCCGACACGCCATGCGACAATGGCGACGACGACGACGAGAACCTCTCGATCGAGATGGAGCTCATGCAGCGTGAGTTCCAAAAGCGCCAGCAGGTCCTCGGCGCGTCGGTCCAGGACCTCTCCAACAACATTTCGCTCAAGGAGCAAATGCTCTCGACGCTCCGGCGCAACGCGGAAGGCTACGAGCGCATGCGCGGTGTCTTTGAGCAGCGACTGAAGGAGATGGCCGAGAAGGAGCGGGTTTTCATGGCCGAGCGCGACCGGCTCGTCGCTGAGATGCAGACGCACCAGGTGTCGGACCCGCCGCGCTACCACAAGCTGTCAGTGGACCTCGTGTCGAAAGATGGCGAGCTCTCGGCGCTCCGGAAGAAGCAGGCGGAAATGCGCCGCTTTGAAGTCATGAAGCAGAAGAGCGACGTGCAGCTGCGCGTCTTGACCAACGAGATTAGCACGATGAAGCGGCAGAAGGTCGACCTCCTCCGCAAGATGCAAGCCGACCGCAAAAAGTACGAGGTCGAGGCCAACGAGCGCAAGCGCGAGATTATGAACCTCAAGCGCGAGCACCAGCGCGACCGCAAGCAGATTCAAAAGCTCGGGAGCGAAAAGGACGCGCAGGAGCGCGTTTTGAAGCGGCGCATGGAGGAAGTCGCGGCCGCGAACCGCCGCCTCAAGCAGCAGCAGCTGTTGCTGCAGACGAACCGCAAGACCAAGGCCAAGACGCCGTCCAAAGACGAAGTGTGGCTCGAGACTCAGATCAAGAAGCTCGCGGACCAGCAAAAGAAGGCCGAACAGCTCGAAGAGGAGCTCGCCAAGCGCGAGAAAATTGTGCGACAAATGGAGCGGCTCTACGGCCAGCGCAACAAGCTCCAGGACGAGCTCCAAGCGTCACTGGCCGAGCGTGCGACGGGCGACGCGAGTGCGATCCGCGATATCCTCATCTCGCCGCTCAAGTCGGAGGCGGCGCATGGCGGGCTCGGGAAGGAAGAGGAGGCGATGCTCGCCGAGCTCGAAGAGCGCATCGAGGCGTGCCAAGCGCAGCTCGAGTACAAGGACGAGCGCATCTCGGAAATGGCGTCCAGCTCGATGCTCGTGGACCTCGACGACGACGAGGCGATGGCCAAGATGGAGACGTCGTCGCTGCCCGAAGCGCGGACGCTGCTCAAACTGCTCTTCAGCATGGCGGTCGGCGTCAAGAAACAAGAGGAAGCAAAAGACGCGGAGCTGCAGAGCACGTTGTTGCGTCTCGGCGAAATCGAGTCGACGCTGCTCATCGAGAAGGAGCGCAACAATTTTATGCGCCAAACGTACGAGGAGAAGCTCCAGCAGATGATTGCCGAGGCCATGGGCGGCGATCCGTCGCGGCTCGTCCAGAGCGCGTCCGAAGAGCAAGTGTCGGTCTTGCGCCGGCAGTGCGAAGAGCTCTCGGCCCAAGCGGCGGTGAGCGAAGCGCAAAAGGCCGCGCTCCAAGTGCGCGAGCAAAAGTACAAGGCCGGGTTGGCCACGTGCCGTGAGCGCATCAAGTGGCTCGAAGCCCAAGTCGACAACAAGGCGAGCAGCAGCAGCTTTCTGCCGCCGCCGGCCCCGACCCATGACGACGGCGATGTGGACATGGCGTGTGACATGGACGACCACATGAGCGTCGGCAGCGCGAGCTCGGACACGGCCCCGACGTCGTCGTCGATCTTCAACCGCCTCTCGAACCCGACCAACTTTACGGGCATCCACCGCCACCGGCTCCAAGAGAACGCCCGCGAAAAGCGCGAGATTCTGAAAAACCGCAACCAAAACTTGCGCTCGCGCCGGTATCGCATGACGCATCGTTGTCATCCTAGGCTCATGTCTTGTGTAGGCTCAAGGACCGCAACCTGCTGGTGCCACCGCCGACGGCCACAACGTCCAAGCTGCGGCAGCCGAGCCCGAGTCTCAATGTCGCAGCCTCGCCCCGGCCACGTGCTTCGACGCCGCGCCACCCACCGCCGCCGCCAATCGACACGGGCCGGCGCAGCAGTGGCAGCTCGGCCGTCATGGACGTCCTCGCGACGCTGAAAAAGGTAAAATTATCAATGTGTCAACTTGAATTCATTGGATATGGTGCAGGAAAACGAGCAAGACATGGACGACTGCGACATGGACGGCGACCACAGCGACTCGGTGTCGGAAGGCGGGTACGAGTCGCCCAAGCCCAAGTCGTCGCGCACCAAGGCGCACCACATTAGCGACTGCGTCTCGGAGGGCGGTGCGATCGAGTCGCCGCAGCCGCAAGCCAAGCGCGACGTCTTCTCGCGTCTCAACAACCAGTACACGGCCTCGTCCCAGTACAAGCGCCACGTACGCGACAATCTCTCATCTTGTAAATCTGATTTGTCTGAATTGGTAGTCGTTTATCGGCGAGCACAAGGCGCAGCGCAACCGCGAACTCTTCCGGTCGACGACGGACGATGCGAACGATGTGCCGAGCCCGCCGCGGCCGCCGAGCGCCGACCCGTTGACGGGCTCGGACCGGTTCCTGCACCAGGTGATCGATGACGCGCACGACGACGCGAGATAAATCGACCACTCGAATACATGCCTTTATGTTTTGTACTGGAGGCCTTTTCGTTGATACTTTCCAAACTAAGACGGTTGTGGTTGAAATGTCGAGTCAGTCGT